TTAGAAGGCTCTTTAGATTGCTTGGGCAATTTCACTACCAGTTAAACATAAAATGATGGGATTTGGGAAATAAGGACATTCATTCTTTTAATATTAATATTTTTAAAAGCCATGCTGTCTGTGGCCCAGCTGTTCGTGACAGTCAGGGACAGGGAGTCAGTCCTGTGCACATGTGGTTCATCTGCATATGTAAAGAGGAGAGCAATGTCTGCTATTGTTCAGTTACTCCTGCAATGAATTATTCTTGGTCTTCGTTATTCTCCGTTACTTAAAAGCCCAAACATCAGTGGAATCTCCATCAAAACAAATTTATTGAACAATAGCTCTATTTTATTAGAATTTGAAATTGCTTTAACTTCACAACAGAAAATAGGAGTGCAAAAATAAGAGAAATGTTTCCTGCAGCAAAGTGCTGTATATTTTGGAACCAATACAGTAGCATTTGTTGCATTTTTGATGCCTCTCAAAATATTTTATTAGTACACCAGGGAATAGAGGTGTTATAAGGTGTTAAAGGCAAAGATTTAAGAATATCAAATAGTTTTCTGCTAGTCACTGGCATGACAGCACTAATTACAGTACCTTGGACTGCTGCTGACAGTATTTGTTTGGCAGACTGGTGTTCTCACATTCCAGGAAGTTGGGTCGATAGACTAGTGAGTGGCAGGCTGGTTTACTTTACTGATGTAATAATGCTGTTAGCACCCATGCTAAAGAATTACATAAAATAAAATAAAATATTGAATATATAAATCCTGATATATAAAAAGTAGTTGCATACAAAGTAGGTTACATTTTAAGGTTTACATTTTAATCTGTTCTTTAGTGATCATTATCTAAACGGATACAGTATTTCAACATATATCTTGGCATCACATTGTGCCCCATATATATCTATCTATATATATCTTTAATGTGAGTGTCTGTGATTCCCCAAGGGGCAGATGACCAACGACTTCTTGGTATCGCCGTGATGGCTAAGGAGTCTCGGCCAGAAAGCAAAAACTTATACAACTGGCAAATTGGTAAACAGAGTGAAAATCTAATAAAAAAACAACTAGTCATTGCATTAAAAAAAAAAATAACTGTGGGGTAGGGTTACTCCTAGATGGCTTACACAACGAAGGCATTTCTTCAAGGCCCAGTTGAACCCTGTAATCCAAATATTGCCAGCTCAAGCCTGGGCTGTGTCTTTAGATAATGAGGACCAGGATTTCTCAAGTGGCAGGATACATTTGGGTGAGCACTCCTGGGGCAACCTGAGGCTGGAGCCAAGCGCCCCACAACAGTGACCTCGGTGACGTGTGCCTATAAGCATGCAGTGATGGCAATGAGAGCCCTGTTGCTACTCCAATCAACGCTATTGCTCCTGGTGGCACAGTGTCGCTTTCAGTACGGCAAATGTCAGAAGAATGCATCCACGGTCCATCTCCGTGAGAGTGAGAGAGCTGTGGAAGAGTTACAAAGCCAAGCAAGCAGATCAACAACTGCAACAGCACAGGCAATACCAGATTTCAACATGCTTCACTACATATACACAGCAAACTTGCAGTGTGCGAAAATGAATTATGTTTGCAACAGGCAATTCAAAGGTATTTCCGCTCATGCAGGTTTAGATTAAATATACTCTGTTCAGGTATACTCCACATCAGAGATGTAGGTGCAACAAATAAAGTTATTGCCATTTAATTATTTAAAGGGAAAAAAAGAAATAGGATATGGATGCAAGTAGTCTGTAAATCTAAACAAAAATTGGAATGTTTTCTTAGTAAAATAGAATATTTCAATGAATTAAAATGACTAATGGAATCCTCAAAGCATGTGATGCATTTGTTACCAACAAACATACAATATTCTTTTATCTGGAGAAACAGGTTGGCTCTCACAAGCCTACAGCATTTGATGGGATTCAGTGAAAACATATTCATTTTAAAGTTGTTTACAGTATAATGCCAGAACTGTGGAAAACTAAAATGGAATTAAATGTGCACATTGATAAACATTTTAAGACATTTGAACAACATTCACTGAGTATTTTAACTATATTTAATCTTTTTGTGTGTGTTTTTCATGCCTATTTCAAGTATAAAAATACAAATTATACATTTTGACCTGTTATAAGCCTACTTAACGGTGTGCAGTTTCACATATAAAAGATTCCAGTTGTAAAAGATAAGGCTTTTATAAGGTAATATCAAGTCCTCCGGAATAAATAGCCCATTTATTAATAATGATGTTGTTTGCATCCTGTGTGTTATTTTTACATTTGTAAATAGAGGTATTTATCCAGTAAATCCTCTACATTGCTCTACTATGTAATGATGTATTCAGATCAGATGACTACAAGTACAGTTTATGTTAACAGCAGCTGTGACCCTCAATGTTATTTTCTTTTAATACAATTTTGAAGCAGCGTAGTTATCGATCATGTCTCCACAACAGTTAATAGGGTATCAACAAAAACTCATTAATAGCATAATCATTATTGGTAATTAAATGGAAATGTGGCTGCATACTCAATACTAACATTCCTGAGTTAACCATGCAGGCCAGTCAACCACACAATGCAAGGAATTGTATTTTATTATACTTGCAGTGGGCAAGAGTAAAGAGACATGTGAAAGAGACTGAGAAATACTGCCACTTAACTACAGAGGGCGCTAGCAGCCAATATCTGCATCTCTGATCTCAAGACTGAAAAGTGTGGAAAAAAGTCTGTTCGGTCTGTTTTTTTTTAATTGCACACCAAAAACAACTCAAAATCAGTTGTAAAATACATAGGAAACACTCCAAACACTACAATTATCATGAATGTAATGAAATCTCTGAGTGTTCTAAAAATTTAAATCACAATAATGCTGACAAACAGTGACCAGACATGTCTGAATTCATGGTGCATTACATTTTCAAACCACTCCTAAATTTCCCTAGAATAATGACAATATTTACATCTTCACAGGTACTTGAGGTGTGCTAGCACAGCGTGAGATTACAATTGTAAACGACTGCAAAAACACAAGAAAAACACCTAACGGTTTTAAAGCTGAAGATTCATGTTCCAGCACGCCGTTTTACATTTCATCGCAGGATCTTCTGTAAATATCACTGGGTTACGTTTTCCTCTTTTTCCCCATACACATACGTATAAATCACCCGGAGGGAAATGATTTAAGTAAATTCTAAAATAATGTCTAGGACAACCTAATACTTGAATCCAATGTGGTGAAGAAATCTTATTTACCACAACAGTACCTGTTCTTTTCAAAAATAATGCTAAGATATAGCATTGTTTATATTTTTTACAATTGGACATTATCTAACAATTTTCCTTCAAAATGGCTGAGAAGCACATTTTAGCCTGGAGAAAGAAAAAGCAGCTCTTAGTCATCTTGCCCCACATAAACTCTCATACCCAGCTAGTCCTTCATTTCAATGAGTAATTCCACTGTTTGCCCTTTTCTGTCTAATGTAACACGGACTACGACAGTCACACTACACTGTCTCTGAATTCAACATCTCAAAGTCAAGTATTTTAACTGTGAATAGTTATTTCATTAAAAAACAACTCTTGACAATTATTTCTAATGAGACAAAAAGATCTGTCATTATTAAAAATATGGTTGAAAAACATAACCCCAAAATATTTTATTTTTAAATGAATTTAGATAATATCTTAGCATCTGCTGCACAAAATCGTATGTGAGGATGTGCAGAAATATGTTTAGCTTACATGACGAAAATTAAAGAGATTTAAAACATTAATGTTTTAAAGAACTATTTTTCTTAAGGCAATTGATTAAAAAACAGCTTTTTTTTCTTCAAGAATATGAAAGGCAAAGACATCTATTGCTTTTGGTATATGAATGAAATTTGAATAACACTTGAGTATGCCCAATTGCAAATATATTAACCACTCAACATTTTCTGTAAATATCCAATGTATTTAACTGTAATCATTTTCTTTACCACTTTAACAAAAGGCACCCAAAATCATTTAAATGAATGAAAATCCAATTATGAAGCTAAAAAGCCCTTTTAATTTAACCCCGCCACCAAAATGTACCATATCCCAAATCATGTCAGTATACCACTTCTAACAAGCTGTTATCTTACTTTTAATATTCTGAAAATCAAAGATAAAATATCAAAACAAAGTTTTTGTCAAAACACAATTGACCAAAAATAGCCCTCCAGTGCAATTGTTAAGAAGTCCTTTGTGGGCCATATATTTTAAAGCTGTAACTAATAAAACAGGAATGTGCAACTTTTATTTTTCTTGTCTAGTCAAGTAATGTCAAGACAATCTTAAAGGCTATGAACTTTTTTTAGTGGATAAACGGATAAAAATCTTGAACATGCTTCAGTTCCATGCTTGTTTCTTCAGCGGCCTAACAATAAAGCTCTGCATACCTTTCATTTTCCAATTGAATATTTTAGAAGTTCTCTCCTCCGCAGGCAAGAGTAAACCAGTCAAATTGGATTTCTGACATTCAGAGTGGCAGACAAACGAAATATGGAATCCTTTGCGAAAATTAAAATACTATTAGAATCATGATTTAGGGTGCAGTTAAAACTGAAGTAAACTGCAACAGAATCCATCGAACAGACATGAGCCCCTTTCATGTGGGGAAGAAAGCATTTTTGTGTTCAGGAAAATGGACCACAACCACACTATGGGTTAGACATTTCCAGACATGACGGATCGTGCACGCCTGCTATCTTTAACATATAAAGTTTTATTATTTTTATGTCACACTCTGTATAAATGAATGTTCTCTTGCATGCTTATATTTGCCCAACAGGGTGATTTAAACCAGTTTAGAAATATATTCTGCTTTATAAAAATGCCAAGAAAGGGGACACTGCAACTTTAGCCTACACCTGGGTGCATTAAATCACTGTTAAAGAGGCAGGAATCTAACTAACCCGTACGAGGGATTTAAGTTTCTACAGAAGCTTTAGAACAGCGACCCTTATAAAGTAAGAAATGACAACGGTACCTGTCCACATAGAAGGGGAAACAAAACTTGGTCAAAGTCTGAAGAGTTTCCTGTGGAAAGAAAGAGGAGATAATTTATATATCTAATGGGACCAATAAATCTAAGTATTAACTGCACCACACCATATAACAGGGCATGCCCTGAAGAAATAAGAGACAGATGAAGGGAGGGGAAAAAAGGTTTTATCAGTGAAGGGGTGAAGGAAGAAAAAAATGTGTGAGAGAAGGAGGAAGAGAAACAGACAGAGATGGAGAGACCCGAACAGTCAATCGCTTAAAAAAAAAAAAACTACTTGTGATCAAACTTCATTAAATATGAAAAAATAATCAAGATCCGCACAAGGGTGAGCTGCAGGGGCTCCCTGGGACACGGAGGCAGAAGAGAGGAAAGGGAGGTTGGGGCTGAGCCGTGTTAACAACCCTCCAGGGAAGCTCTCTAGCCTGACCATATGGGTAACAGTGAATAACACCAAACCACATGAGCCATGGGCTGGCAGGAGCACTGTGCCTGCCAGAGCTTCAGCTGTTACCAGGGAACTTGGGGCTTGGGAATTGCAGCGAGGGGGACTGCCTAGCCCAGCTCTCTAAATGCAGAACAAAAGGACAGGGGATTCGAGAACAGGCAGGAAAAGCAGTGCCTGATAATATTCTCTCCCGTAAAAAGAAAACACTGGCGACAGGCCTCCTTCTTAGTCTGCCCATTGCAAAAGCTTAATCATTAAATTCTTTTTTTTAAAAAAAGTAAACAAACGCCAGCTTCATCTGTAATTTTAAAGTGTTAATAGACCATGAAATTCATGAGCGGGTGTTATCTGGGTGAATTTGCCAGATTCCATTGGCACCTGAACTACGCGCAAGTGATCTAGAAGGGAGCCGTGCACCTCAAAAACACACTTCAGAGGTAACATTTGTACGGGACGATGTAAACAAGTAGGCAAGATAAACAAGAAACAACTGAAAATAATCAAGACAAAAAGGCGCTTGTTTAAATGGCGACTTCTGCATTATACAAATGATCTACACTTTTACTGAAATAACATGCATACAGCTACAGCTACCTTTAAACCCCAAAACGTTATTGACTTTCTCTTCTAACTTACTTGGATTGTGCTAAAGGGCTATTAAAGTAGGAAAACTCAAAACTGATGCTGGCATTAACTAATACAATATGAATTTTAAAACTCACTCATGTACTATGTTAAATTATGGGAGAGAAAGTGTGGATAGTTCATTCCCTAACGGGTATATTTTTATGTAGATGTTTATTAAAAAGGCAACCTTTTTATTAAGACTGATGAGAATCTCAGTCAATGAAACCCTAATTTTGAATATCCAAGCATTAAGTCAACACCTGCAGTGCCACAACCCACTGTTACTAGCTGTCCATCACTTCCTATTATTGTATTATTTGTGTGGTGTCTGTAGCTTGAATTCCCAGAGTTTAGGTTTGGATGACAAGCAGCTAATTAATTTTTTGAAGCCCAGAGAAGCTAGCTTCAAGCTGAGGAAAGATCGCCTAAAGCACATTTTAACTTTTGTGATAAATTAAAGATCAGTTTACATGTGTAGCACTTCCATGACCAATAATAATGAATTATCAATGCTAACTGAATTGGTGCTTTTCACTTCATTTGTTTTCTAGCAAGATCCACAGTACAAGATACAGGAGATATCAATCTCATATCCTGCTCAATATAGTGCAAAGTGTATTGGCTGAACACAAAGCTTTTTCTGTTGTACAAAATATATTGTAAATGATTTCAACAATCACTGAATGAGAACACTGTCTGAAAAACACATTGAAAACAGAAAATTTAAATGACGTGTTTTCCTTATGCCTCATTTCCATAAATTGTCAAATTTTAAAATCAAATAATTAAAAAATATAATTACTATTTAATTGTAAGTGTGGTTAAAATTATGACAAGTAATCAACCTACATAGCACGACATGATATAGTACTTAAAGATTTACACGCCAGCCACACTTACATTCCAAAAAATAAGCTATTTGTAAATTTGGACTAGATTTGGACAATAATTTTATACTCCCCCCACACACAGACAAAACAGAAATGGCCTGTAACATTTATTTATTTTGATCTCGAGTCCTTTTAAGATCCTCAACATCAGGTCTATGGCTTTGAATTTGTTTTCCCCCATCCGTTTTACGATCTCCTGTCAGTGGCCCTCAGCCAGCTAGGATTGAAGACTCCATTATGCCCTTACAGTTCTACCCTCAGTGGCAATTTAGATTGTTTAGATCTGGAAAAAAAAAAACATAGAGAAGTCTCGTTTCTGCATCATTTCCCTTGGTATAACAGACTTCGTACTATGAAATCTCATGGGCATAAACGCAAGCGTAGATTGAGGCATACAGGCCCAATGGTTCATTTACTTGCCTTCAAGCAACACTGGCAGTCCAAGAGAGAGCCACTTATAGGTACGAGGTCATTTTCAGGAAGATGACTGGATAGGGAAAAGCAATCCTAGAGGACGTTTTCCCATACAATTCGTTATCTCGGACGAGTCAACTGTTATCTTGATGAGTCGATGAACAGATCTCTTTTATCTCTTTTATTTTTTGGAACTTTGTGATGTGAAAATCAATAACTTCAGTCAGGCGGCGTCTTCCGGGAGGTGAAAAGCGATTTCACTTTGGGAGCACGGGTTATGTACCGTACTTTCAGGTTCAGTGCACCTACCTCTGTGGTGCGTCATGTGGTCGCTCCTTAACATATCTGAAATAGTCACTCTAATTAAATCCAGCATGTTCCTCGGATCCTGTTGTCTTGCCAGGCATTTTGAATTTCTTTGTTGCATTGTCACACATCATCAATGAATTATTAAGATGTGGAATTTTTCACTTGACCCTTAAACAGGTTACAAAAGGTAAACTTAAAGACTCCATCCCATTCACTATTGTGACTTACTAACAATTAATAAAGCTTCCAGACCAGGCTGTTGCCAGTCAGTGACAAGACTATATATCCATCCAAGACACCGGTGCAAGGAGGGGTACACTCAGGACAGGACACCAGTTCATCGGAGGGCACACACACTCACACCAGGGCGGTTTTACCAGTAGCCAGTTAACCTACAGTACCAGTGTGCCTTTGGACTGTGGGAGGAAACCCACATGAACATGGGGAGAACATACAAACTGCACCCAGACAGCACTCCAGGGCTGGAATTCCTACCCGGGGCTCCAGTTTATCTTCAAACACAAATATTTCTGACCTCAGTTATAATGAACTTAAGTAGTACTGAAACAGGTCTTCTGAGGTTTGTTAAAATCCCTACTGCTAACACTTATCTAAGTGCTTTATTCACAGACTCTCAGGCTGCTGAAACTCAGTGCTGTTTGCAATCTGACTGAATAGATTAGAGAGATGCTGGTATTACTGGAATTGCCTTGTGGTGGTTGAAATTTCATCGGAAAGAAAAGGTTTTGCAAACTATACGTTGTTAATCCTTGTTGAAATCGCAGCCAGGACCCTCACAAAGCTCCTTTGTTAGTCCCATTCTTTTTCACATCTATATGTTACCATTGAGCCAGATTCTTTATAGGTATGGTAAGCTTTCTCCTTCTATGCTTATAACTAGATTTCCATGCAATAGCAGTGACATAACTGGCTATACAAATGGTTTGGGGTAGAACATAGTATTGTAAAAGCAAGCTGTAACCTTTTGCTGTGGCCTTAAGAGATCAAGAAAATTGTTTCCCAATCCCTGGTCCTGAAGGAACACTGTCTCTTCTGGATTTTGCTCCCGCCAAGTTCTTATGGGGCATATTTGCAAATTTCCTTTCCGCTCTGAAAAGGTCAAACGGGATTTGTAATTGGTATCCACCCTGTTAAGAGTTTCAGGACCTCCCTTATTGAGGTGTGTTGTGTTAAATATAACTAGGCGGACTTCTGCAGAAGGGAAAACACTAGTTGTAGGCGTGTCTGATACAGTATCATTCCCACCTGTGCCTGTTCATCGTTAATTGAGCAACTAGTAAGAAGAGCTCTTGTCAGAGATGACAGCGAGCGAGTTGAGGAGAGGCTGTGTACAGGTCTGTGTGCTGAGATTGCTGGAAACAATGTCCTTGTAGTTGGGATTTTTTCACACTCCGGACTGAGAAAAGAAACAAGTGAATTAAAAGTCAAAACAAGCAAGCAGATCAATAAAGTCGTCGATTAGCCTGATAGAATGAACACCAGCAGACAGTGTTCCTCCTCTACGCTCCCGAGTTCAGTTCCAGGCTGTAATGCCCGCTGTGTGGAGATTGCATGTTCTCCCACATTTGCATGGGTTTTACCCAGGTAAATTCATATAATCTGCTTTGTTTGAAGTGGTTCTACTATAATGCCAGCTGCTGGGATAAGGTTCGGGTCAAGAAGTGCTTGGAGGAAAAGGTTAATGGAAATGTTTTAAAAGGAACAGAGCCACTTTTTTACCAGTTGGATTCTTTCAGAGTGCTGGCAACCATGTGGTTTGGCAGTGGAATGGTTTGACGGACTGTTTGTAATAACAACCCCTACCCAGGGTATGTAGGACTCGACATGTGTATTCAACTTTAGGTAAAAACCTCTCATAGATCACCTGAGAAAGGTTTCAAGTTTATGTTACATACAGTATGTAAAGAGTGTATTCATGGATGAATAGCTTTAAAGCAAGTGTAATGCTGTCTCTACCAGCAGCCACTAGGGCTGAATTTTACTGGCGGTCTTGCCTTGATCTCGAGCATGTGTAGCATCTCTCATTTATCTCTCTACAATGTTTCCTTCACTGTATGTTTTTTTTGCTCTTGAACTGATCTAATTATAGGACTTTAAAATGTTGTTTCAGCCATTGAAGCGACTTTAGTGATAAATATCGCGAATGGCACTTTTCTGTGTGTTCGCAGAACTGCTCAGAATGGGTCACCTCTGACAATTACAAATCCTGTTATGTAAAAACTTGCAAAACAGAAGCTTTCCATAAGCTGGGGAATGGGTATATGGCTGATGTGTCTGTAAAAGGGTCCCTTGCTTTTGCTTAATGGGAAGATGCATAGTTTGCCAC